GGCATCTCCCCAGTGAGCCATGTATCTTTCTGGCTTCTGTTCAAATGTCACCTTTATAGATATGTCTTCCTTGACTGCCACACCATATTCCCATTCCATTTGCCCCTCGCCCTGTTTCCTCTTTCCTCAGAGAACTCTTATCACCACCCCTCATTGTATATATTTATTGGCTCTCTCCGTCTCCTCCAAACTAGAATGCAAACTCTGAGGGCAGGGTCTTAGTTTTGTTCACTGCTATATCCCCAGCACTGCAAATAATGCCTCATACAGAGTAGGTACTTGGTAAATGCTTCTTAGATGAATGAAAAATTATTAGCTATCATCATCATCATTATCAGTTCAGTCAGTGCAGATGGCTCCTGGGGGTGGGAATCCAGGTCTTATTCATGGCCATACACCCCCCAGGGCTCAGCACCCAGGCTTGTGCTGTGAGAGGAAGAACCTAAACCAGGAGAGCCTGGTTCCAAGATCAGCAAGGAACAGGTCTCTCCTTGGACTATGCTTCCTTCCTGCTCTGAGATTCTGTGACTCAATGAGGGATTGGGGGTGGGGAGGTGGTAGTGGTGTGAGGGGCACAGGATGGGGCATGGAAAGGAGAGGGGAATCGGAAGCCGAAGAACCAGACCTCACCTGGGTGCGCTGCATAGCAGGTGATGCCAGTGCCCTCAAGCTGGTTGGCAAGCTCCCGGGCAAACAGTACATTAGCCAGCTTAGTGTCAGCATATGCCCGCAGCTCCTGCCGCCAGCCCACCACTGGGCGGTCCAGGCGTTTGAAGTCGAGACGTCCCCGACAGTGGGCAGCTGAGGCTACCACCACCACGCGGCTAGGGGCACATGCCTTCAGGCAAGGCAGCAGCAGATGTGTCAGCAGAAAGGGACCGATGTGGTTCACCCGAAGCAGCAGGTTAAACGCCTCGCGGGTCCGGCCACAGGAACTGATCCCTGGGGCAGAGGCTAGATGTAAGTGGCTGCTCCAGAAGGAGCTCTGCAGCCTTGGCATCCCTATCTATGAGATGGGAGTAGGGGGCATCCTTCCCATGTGTCCACTGGCCCCAGCAGGGCTTCCGCTGGAGGGGGCAGCTGCCCCTGGCCACCCGCCACCCCCCACCCCACAGGGCCTGCTGCCCCTCACCGGCATTGTGGATGAGGATGTCCAACCGTGGCTCAGAGCTCAGGAAGGCAGTGGCAAAGGCCCGCACCGAGGCCAGATTGGCCAAGTCCAAGGCCATGAAGATGACCTCATTGTTCCCACTCTCCTGTGGAGCGGCAAGGGCTGGGCTTGTCACCAGGCATCTTTCTCCTCTTCCCTCTCTCCCCAGGAACCAAATTCTGAGAGTTCATCTCCTACTGTTTAATATAATCTGCCCCTACGTCTTAGAGTTTACTAGATAAGTGTGTGGATTCAAATCCTGACTTTGTCTTTTACTAGAGTGTGACCTTGGGCAAGATACTTAATCTCTTTGGGCCTCAGTTCTCTCACTGCATAAAGGGAATAATAACAGTACCAATCTCACCCAGCTGTTGTGAGAATGAAAGGAGTTAACATGTGTAAAATACACTCCAGCAGCACTGGGTAGGTACTTGCTATTATTATCACCTCCTTTCCCCATTACCATTTACCCCAAAATCTGTAAGACTTCTCACTGGTCTCCTCTCGCCCGCTCTTGCCCCTCCACTCCAAGCACCACGCAGCCACAAAGGGGTTCCTTCCAAAGGCTATTCTGACAGTCCGGAGCCTACTGAGGGCCGTTTATGGTCTCCAGTGGTCTGTGCTGCCCAATCTATAAAATCTAAGCTTCTCAATAGGCTCTAGAAGGTCCTCTAGCCCCCTCATTTGCCCATCTTCCTCATACTTTGTGCTTCAGCCTCATTAAATCTTTTTCTCAGTTTTTCAGATCAGTCCAGCTCTCTTGCTTACTGAGGGCCTTTGCTTATGCTGTGCCCTCTGCTGTTCCCTTTCCTACTAATCATTAACCCAACTTCTACTGATGCTTAAACGTCTCAGAACTGCAATCAGGGCCTTCAGGAAGCCCCTCCCCCACTCGGCTCTGGTGCGCCTTCCTCGGGTGACCCCGGCGCTCCGTGCACTCCCTCTTCGCGCTCAGCCGCCCGCGCCGCACTCTCCTCCCTGGACCCGGATCCTCCGCAGCCCCTTTGCTGGCTTCTCTGTGTCCCGGCGGGTTCTCGGCTCACGGTCCCACGCGCCCCCGCTGCCTCTCACCTGGCGGAGGTCGAAGGCAGCCGCCTCC